ACATGCCAGTGACATGGTGGGGAAGAAACCTGACATTCTTGAGGGTCAGGCCCTATGTTAATAACGGAGGCTAGGTTAGAGCAAGCCAAGTTGTTTCATTTTATCTTAAAAGAACCTCATAAGATGCAGTAGAATTATTCCCATCTCACAGATATAGAAACTGAAGCTCCAAGCCTCAGAGTCGTACAGCCAGGGGCATTTAACCTCACTGGGTGTCCTCTTCTGCGGAGCTCCTCAGGAACTCCAAGAATGAATCCACCATTTCTACCAATCCCCAAACAAAGCTCCATTCCAGAAAAAAAAAAAAGATTCTTGCTAGTCCTTCAGGAACAGCTCTCCACTCCTACCTGCCTTGAATGGCACCTCTGGATCCAAGCCAACTCAGCCCCAGCTTGAATGCAAATGCTGTATAGAGTTGGATCCCCCAGGGACCTCTTCAACCCACTCCTGCCTTTTTCCTCCCTCATAAGATACTGCAGGTAGATTTAGCATTCTGTGCCTCATGCCTCAGTTCCAGATTCTCTGTCAGCACAGTCCTATCTCAAGACAGAGAAATCAAACAGCTGAAAAGCAGCCTGCTCTCAGGGAGGGACGAAAAGCAGGTGGATTCGACATAACTGCCTAACAAAGTGTATTTATGAATATCATTGGAACAAATGTCTCCCATAACTGCAGCCATCACCTCCTAATGTCACATCACGGAGACACCGGAAAACAAATTGGGCTTATAACCTGATTTTCTATCAGCTGGGAATGGCCTCACCAACCTTCAGCCTCTGCAGCTAGGCAGTATCTGACTTGCATCTTCATTTGAACTCTGGAAGCAAAATTGCGGATTAAAAAAAGAAAAGAAAGAAACAATATTTTTTTCTTAAATATCAGTTTTGGGGTTGGGGGCATAGCTCAGTAGTAGAGCCCATGTGCTTAGCATGTATGGTCCTGGGTTCAATTTCCCAGCACCAAAACAAGTAAACACAATAAATGAATAAATTAAACATATCCATTTCATCAGTAGCATGTTTCTTAATGCATCAGACAACCCACTGTCACAGGTGGCCTAAAAAGTGCTGAAGTTACCAGACTCAGACTCCTTAGCCTGGTCTGTAAGGGTGGGGAATGCAACCTTTTTGCTTTGGAAGACTCAAAGCTACCCTTTTCTTAAAGCCCTGATTTTCTGACTTCCTTGTCGGTCCCCTGCACTACCTTCTCCCTGCAATGCTCTAACTCACATCTTCCCCCAGGCCTGTCTCTTTTCCTCCATTTCTTCTGCACCTCTTCTCTACTTCTCTCATTTGGCAGGTTGCAGAAGCTTTCTGCTGGTCTCCCTGACTCTGAGCTCTCTTCTCTCCAACCTGCCCTCTACTTTGGATGGCTATTGGGTGCATTCTGTTTTCTCTCTGGACACTTTGGGATCAGGGAGCAGCCATGTATTTTATTTTATTTATTTATTTTTGCCTCTAGAACCCAGCATAGGGGCTGAGGGTGTGGCTCCCTAGTAGAGTGCTTGCCTAGCAAGCATGAGACCCTGGGTTTGATTCCCAGCACTCAGAAAAAAAAAAAAAAAACAATAGAAACAACAACAAAACTCTCTCAAAAAAACCTAGTGCAGAATAGCACAATGCTATGGAATGGAATCAAAACTTCAAAAATCAGAAAGACCCTGAGTCTTTAGAGGACCAGACACAGGGGACATAATTACTCCAGAATGCACTTGTTGCAAGTAAATAAAACAAGTAGAGGAGCTTACTTTCTCCTGGGCAAGAGATGTTCAATGAAACTGAATTGTCAATCCTCTCATTTTTAATTGGAGATATGTGAAATGTCATCAGCATTCATTTTATTGGGTATGCAAGTTTTATTGATTTATTTTATTGACTATGAAACATTTTAAAGTGCTTTCCAAGGGTCATCACAACCTCAGTAATCTAAACATTAATTTTTTTTTTGTATTTATAAGATCTTTAACTTTCTTCTAATAGGAAGGCTAGAATGGCCACAGGCCTCCTTAGGAACCTAACCTGAGAACAAGCAGCTCAGGGCAGGCTGCTGCCCTCACACCAATTTTGACCAAGAAATACACACTAAAGCGTCCTGAATGCTGTGCAGTCTCTGGAAGCTTGTGGGGAGGCAGGAGCCTGCAGCTAGCTCTGGGGAAGTCAGACCACATCTCTGCCATGCCCTGTCAAGCCACATCCATCCAATTAGGTTAGGAGTGAAGATGTTACATGATGTGACCAATGGGATCAGAAGTAATAGCACGACCTGTCAGCCTGTGCTTTCCTGACAATTCTGGGGTAAAGACGTTGCCTTCTAGAGTGCTAGGAGTCAGAGAGATCTGGCATGGGAGAGTGGGGAAAGGGTTATTTCATTCCTTATTTACAAAAGTGGTGCTTGTTGTGTGTAGGGGAGCAGTAAATTGATCTTATTTCCCTAGTCTTATTTTAGAGTTTTGCTTGCAATCTGTGATATCTAAAGGCTTTATTTTTATTTTTTTAGTAGGGTAAGAGGTGTAAAACCCCACATGCAACATTTCAAGAGCTAGATGCTTTCTTGGAAATAGAGAGGAGGAAAAAAAAATTACGAGATCTTCTGTTTCACCAGGTTGAAGGAGTGTCACCTCACCCAACCCTGTGCAAAAACTCAGAAATATGACTGAAGGTTGAGGGTACCCGGTGATAACCAGAAGGTGCCTGAATCCTGGTTCCAATGTGCTGGCATTGGAACCCCAAGGCAGGCGGCAACTTGGAGCAGATAAATTCCCTGAGGTTGGCCTTTAGGAAACAGAAGCAGCTCAGCTCCCAGCTGAACCATGTAGTCTGAGTCAGTGCTGGCAGCCACTCTTGAGTCTGTGTGCTAGCATTGATTCACAGAAGCACCACCTATAGACATTCCTATAGAAAATGCAATGGAGGTCACCCTTTTCAGAGGAAGCAGTCTTGCTCATCCAGAACTGTGATGAGCCCCACATTTGCAACAGGTCATTGCTGAAGAATTCCTAACCAATAACCTTCTGGTATTCTCTGCCCTATTTCCCTACCTGTAAGCCTGTCTGAAGCACACTAATTACAGACACAGGCCCATAGAAGCAAATTTAAGACCTGATTTTATTGGGATATGTCATTTTGGATTTTCCTCATTTGATTAAGGCTGAATGAAAATCAGTTCCTTTGAAACTTCAGAGGCAATACCATGTGGCCATCAGGAAGATGGATTCAGGAGACAAGTTACCTGAGTTCAAATTCCAATACTATAGCTTTCTAATTTTACATACTTGAAACAATCACTTGAATTCTGTGCCTCAGTTTTCTCATCTTCAACATGGAGATGACATTAGCACTTACACCTATCCCATTTAAGTGAGTAAATATATGTAAATGATGAACAGTTCTTTGCAGGCTGTAAGGGTTCCACAGATGTTGCACATTTTATTTATGATGATTTTCTCTATCTCATCTTTTTGCCTTCTTAAGGGAAGTGTTGCTTTAGGCCTTTGGATGTGGAGTTTATATTTGGTGTCTAGGTTGCTTGACACCTGGATAATTCTCAAGAACTATCCTTGGAGCACCATGGTTTAGATATGTTAAAATTTCTTCCTCCAGTGACCAGATTTTTACTCTAGCTTATGAAGTGTGCTGGGTCCTAATTTAGACATAGATTTTATCATCCAGATCTCTGTGGTGGAAACCTCCTAGCCTAGGGCATTGCTTTGTAAATTTCTTGACCTGATTCACATCTTGACTCTACTCATATAAATTAGCTCTTGTGATTGGAAAGAACAGGTTAGCCTTTCCTCCTCATATTCCTGAAGCATACATAAGGTGCACAATAAATATTTTTGAGCAACTCTTTAGATCCTTTTCTAGACCTCGTGAAATTGTCATGATATCTTTAAGCCCCCTCATTTTATAAGGGCAGTATTAGGTCATCCATTTGTCCCTTTACTGGGGACACTTTCCCCAGAAGGGAGAGTTTTGTGAATCTCCTGGAAAGTCATGAGGCTCACACTGAGGAGAGTGTACCACTCTTCTCATCAAGCTGTGTTGTCTACAGGTTATCACTGGGCCAACCTCATCTCCCTGCCTGGGAACCTGAGAAAAATACCCTTTTCATCAGAGAACTCATGGAAAGTGCTTTAGAAAGAGCTTCTGGGAAATAGAGTCAATAATCAAATATACTGTACCGACGTATTGGAATCACATGTGTAAACTATGACCTTGAATGGTAGCTCTGCCTGTCATCCAGGTGGCAGAACACTTGGAAACCACAGAACACCATGATCATGCACAGACCAGCACAAAAGACACAGCTAATCCCAATAGCTGAACTTGGTGAGATTTATGAACAGAAAATATGACTAGACTGCTGTCTATAAATGCAACAGAAAACCAGAACAAATATTCAAATCTATATTAAAACACACACACACACACACACACACACACACACACACACACACACAAACATCATGACCTAAGCATGGCTGGCTATTTCTGAGGTTTTGAGTTTTTCCATTATCACCACTGGGCACTTTTCATTGATTTGGTCATTTGCAATACATTTGGAAGGCAAACAAAACAAAACAAAAAACAAAAAACAAAAAGACAACTGTTCCCAAACTCTCAATAGAAAACCAGAGGGGAGAAAGTGTTCAAATGAGACAATTTCATACTCTAACTTTTTTTTCCTATGAAAGAAATATTCTTACATTATTTGATTTGCTGCCTGAGGTTAAGAAAGTGCTTCACAAGAAGGAAAATCAACACACTCAAGCCAAAGAGATTGGCATGTTTAATGCCCGTCATCTCTCTTACTTTTGGTGGAGTCTACTAGCAGAGATCCAGGACCTTTTAATCCATAAGATTTTACTCCAGACAAAAGAAAAAAGGGAAAATAACTCCTTAGTAGTGCTCTTTCCCTCTCATTTTGTCCACCAACATATTACTGCAAACCACAAACACTTGAGCATATAAAATATGTAAGAAAAAAATATATATTTTTACCTTAATTAGATATGTCCATCAATGCTCAAGACGAGCAGTGAGCTCAAGGTGTCTTCTGAGCAGCAACACTGTTTATCCTGGAAATAAAAATGCAGATGTGTGAAGTCCAAGATTGCCCGCTTTCAAATCTGTAATTTGTTGTTTATATAAGGGAACAGGGGATGGGAAAATGAGAAATCTCTTTATAGTCATTTTCCTAAAACCCAGGAAAACCAGTAATAAGACAATTTTCTCTGATGTGCCTTCTAAAGATTTCTGGGTATATAGGCTAGCTCTTTTGGAAATAGACTTGTGTCTAATGGGTTCCTATTGGACAGGAACTATATAGCATGGAAGAGAGAAGAAAGAGACTATTGTGTCAAAAAAGTTTGGGTCAAATTATAATTGTTCAGTTTCCTTTTTCTCATCTATAAAATGAGAGCAATAATGTATCCCTGATAGTCTATGACAAGGATTAAGTAGATGTGCAGAGATCCACATGCAGTGTCCTATACACAGCAGGCACTGCATATATATCAGTGTTGGTGCCCCCACCCCATCCCACCCTACAGCCCTTTGCCTCTTTTATAATTACTTCCAACACCTTATCAGGATTAGCTCCATGGTGCTCAATTGGGAAAACATAAAATATTTTAACATCTGCAAAATAACTACTTTAAAAGTCAAAAAAAAGAAGTGTTAGTCAACAGTATATTTAATAAGAGTTAAACAGTTAAATGCTTCTCCTATGTGCTGGGCCTATGTACTAATGATCTGCTACATACTAATAATTTTATACCAATCATTTCTTTTCACCCTCATGATACCCATTCAGAGAAGGCAATACTTAGAAACTGAGGCATGAAAAAAGTTGAGTCTTTTTCTCAGATTGCACAGCCCCTGGGTGGCAGAGCTGGAAGTTGAGTTGATGCTGTCTCATCCCGTGCTCTGCTCTGGCAATCACCCCAGTGTCACCCAGGACTGTCCTGTGCTCTATTGGTGTTTTACACTCTGTGTGAGTTTTCTGTTCCCTTTCCTCCATCCTTC